TGCAGATTAAAATCACAATGATACACCGCTACAATCTCACTAGAATAGCTAAAGTAAAAAATACTGATAATACCAAGCGGTGGCAAAGAATTCTCAACATTACTGATGGGAATGTAAATTGGGACAACCATGTTGGAAAACAGTTTGGCAATCTCAGCACACTTAAATGCTATGATCCAGCAGTTCCATTCCTAGGTAAAAACCAAACTCACTGCCATTGATTTGGTTCCGACTCATAGCAGTCCCCTTTGGGTTTCCAAGACTGTAAATCTCTATGGAAACAGACTGCCTCATCTTTCTTCTGTGGAGCAGCTGTTGGGAAACCACCAACATTTTAGTTGGCAGCCAAATGCCTTAACTGCTACACCACCAGGGGTCCTTCACTCCTAAATCATCGTCGTTATGTGCCGTGGGCCCGACTCATAGCCGCCCCTCCTTGGGTTTCGGAGGCGAGGCGGTATCACTACAGAAGTAGGATTGCCCAACCTTCCTTCTGAGGAGTGGCTGGTGGGTTTGAACCGCCAGCCTTCTGGTTAGCAGTCCAGTGCCTTAGGCACAGTGCTACCAGAGCTCCTCCTAAATATATACCCAAAATAAATGAGTACTTTTTACCACCAAACACATATATAAGACTGTTCATAGCAACGTTATACATAATACCCCAAAATTGGAAACAAATCAAATGTATAAATAGTAAAATGAGCAAAACATATATTCATACAATGAAATTTTACACCACAGTAAAAATGAACAAACTCCTTCTATAAGCAAAAACGGATGAATCTCACACACATGGTGAATGAAAGCCATAAGAAACAAAAGAAGTCAGACACAAAAGACTACATGCTGTATAATCCCATTTATATATACTTCAAAAACGGGAAAAACTAATATATGTTGATGTGGGGAGCTCTGGTAGCGTAGTGCCTAAAGCACTGGACTGCTAACCAGAGGGCTGGTGGTTCAAACCCACCAGCAACTCCTCGGAAGGAAGATGGGGCAATCTACTTCCGTAGTGATACTGCCTCGAAAACCCAAGGAGGGGTCGCTATGAGTCGGGTCCGACTTGACGGCACATAACAACAACAACATGGTGATGTAAGTCAAAATAGTATTGTTATTCATTGAATTGCTATCCCAAATCCCAAAATATATGTTGTGAATTCTAGCCTCTGTGCCTGTGGTTGTAATCCCATTTAGGAATGGGTTGTTTTTGTTATTAATGGGGCAAGATTAGTGTAGGGTGGGTCTTGAGTCAATCTCTTTTGAAAGATAAAAGAGATTAAACAAGCAAGAGAAACAGAGTCCAGAATGATGTTTGTTAGTAGGGTTGGTGTCATCTAGTGAAGTAATCCATGGGATCACCCCCCCACCATGGACCTCCTCCCTACGGTTGTTGTTATTATTTGCATTCCAGTCAGACCCGACTCATAGCGACCCCTCCTTGGGTTTCCGAGGCAGTATCACTGTGGAAGTAGATTGCCCAACCTTCCTTCCGAGGAGTGGCTGGTGGGTTTGAACCACCAGCCTTCTGGTTAGCAGTCAAATGCCTTAGGCACTATGCTACCAGAGTTCCTTACTCCCTACCAAACCATACAAAATCCTTGTGTGTGTGTGTGTGTGTGTGTGTGTGTTAGGTGCTGTTGAGTCCGCCCGGACTCATAGCGACCTTTCCTTGGGTTTCTGAGGCGGTATAAAAAATCCTTAGTAATGTTTATTACCAATTTTAATCATAGAATAAGAGATACCACAGTGATAAATGTAGTTGTAAATTGCTGAAATGTACTATTTCTTAGATTACATGGATATTAACAAAACTATTTTATAAATCTTTCTATATTGAACTACAACATTGTTAGCTACATTATTGGTAACTGAGCAGAAGACTTTTATTTTTCTCTTTCTTTTCCTTCATTTACTATCTCATTCTCAAAAAAGTTATTGATATACATTCACAAATACTAACTACTACAATATTGTAACTAAAACAGTAGAAAATTTGACAAAATCAGTGACTATGAAGACACTAATATCAACAAAACAACAGCACATGCTTGTAGTCCATGCAGACAAAACCACATGACTGGAAGCATCACTGTAATTGGGTAATAAACACAGCTCTAACTGGAGTACATTAGGTTTAAGAAGTGAAGTAACATGGAGTTTGAGCCTTGTAGGTATATTTATACATGTAAGCTGGGCTTATGGAAAATGTTTTCATTGTTACTACAGAGATATTTTATAGAAAATAATAAATTTATGCTGAAACACTGCCCAAAATGTTATAGTCAGTCATTTTGGTGTCACCCCATCTGATATTGTCACCCACTACAGTTGGCATCCCTGCATCCCCCTAATGACACCACTGGTGGAGGAAGAGGGAGGCCAAGCCGTATGAAGATCACCCAGGAGCAGCAGCTCAAAGAAACAAAGTCTCTCCACCAGAGCAGACAGAGAGAAAAAGCCTTCCCCTAAAGCCAGCACCCTGAATTAAGTCTTCTAGCCTCCTAAACTATGAGAAAATAAACTTCTGTTCATTAAAGCCACCCACTTAGGGTATTTCTGTTACAACAGCACTGGAAAACTAAGGTCGTTACTTCTTAGTGGGGTGTTGACTGGGACTGGGGCATGAGGAAGCCTTCTGGAGGGATAAAGACATCTGCTATATGCTTCTACCACTACCTTTAGACCCTAATTCAAGCTTAGCCTCCCCAAGAGAGACCACCTGGTTTGATCAGTGCCCACCTAAAAGTAGGCTGAACCCTCTGAACTGAATTTCATGTCAGGCTACTTCATAGGCCAAAAGATTGGCTGATTTTGGTCAAGTGCTTACTTGCAATCAAATATATGTGTCTAGTGTAGGAAAAATTTGTAGAATGGGGATGTTCATAGTGCAGACCTTTTGAGATTTCTCAGATGGAGCAGTGTATAAGTGTCAATTTCTTTCCTTGGGCTGTTCCCTCAGAACCTGTTAAAATTTTCTGAGTTGGTTGGATTAGGGTTTGAGACTATAGTACTTCATGTGCCTTTGGATTAGTTATATCTAAATGCTATAATGGGAGTTCTGGTGGTGTAGTGCCCAAGGCACTTGACTGCTAACCAGAAAGCTGGTGGTTCAAACCCACCAGCCACTCCTCAGAAGGAAGATTGGGCAATCTACTTCCATAGTGATACTGCCTCGGAGGGGTCGCTATTGGTCAGAGACGACTTGACAGCACACCACCACCACCACAACAAATGCTATAATATTTATAGAATCATGGAATTTAGGCCTCAAATATAATTTTTATGACAAACCAAAAAACAAAGTCACTGCCGTCAAGTCGATTCCAACTCATAGCGATCCCTCCTTGGGACAGAAAATACCTAGTCATGTTGTCTTCAGTAGAGGGTGCTTTTAAATCACCATACCTGTTGCTACATGAAATTAGCTCAGAAATAAAAGGAAACCAGTACTGTATTAGGGCAGTAGGAGTATGAGTATTCTTTCCCTTAAATTTCCTTTAGCAGTGTTTTAAGAAACTTTAAAAAAAAATGAAGTAAGCCTAGGCTCAGAGATTTCCCAACTTGCTCTCAACAAAGATGTAGCCCAGCATGGTGGTTAGGTGCACTGGGCTCTAGAACCAAACTGGGTTCACCTCGCAGTTCTGCTTACAATATAACCTTGGGCAAGGAATTTAACCATTCTGTACCCCAGTCTCTTCAACTGTAGTAGTATCTAACTCGTAGGGTTGTTATAAATATTAAGTGAATTAATACATGCAAAGCCCTTAGAACTATGCCCGGTACATAGTAAGCTCTCAATATCTGTTTGCTATTACTATTAAGAAGTATTATGGATTGAATTATGTTCCCCCAAAAGATATGTTGATGTTGTGACCCTGTCTGGAAATGTGTTTTTTTTTTTTTTTTTTAATTTTTTATGTTAATAAGGTCACACTGGAAGAGAGTGGGCCCTAAACCTAATCCTTTCTTCATAGCATCATAAGAAAAGCACAGTAAACACAGACACACACGCAGGGAGAAGAGACCATGTGAGGATCTGTCTACAAGACAAGGAATGCCAATAAATATTTGAGGCTGCCAGAGGCTGAGAGACAAGGAATGATCTTCTCCTAGAGCAGACAGAGCATAGCCCTGCAGAAACCAAAACCCCAAATCCACTGCCATTGAGTCAATGCCAACTCATAGAATCCAATAGGGCACAGTAGAACTTCCACCATAGGGTTTCCAAGGATATATAAATCTTTATAAAGCAAACTGTCATCTTTCTCCTATAGAGAGGCTGGTAGGTTCAATCCACTATCTTTTGGTTAGTATGCTTTAACCACTGTGCAACCAGACCCCTGCTTTAAACCTCAAAAACCAAACCCACTGCTATTGAGTTGATTCCAATTCACAGCAACTCCCATAGGGCTTCCAAGACTGTAAGTATAGAAGCAGACTGCCTCCTCTTGCTCTCGGGGTGGCTGATAGGTTTGAATTGCCAATGTTTCAGGTAGCAGCCCAATGCCTTAACCACAGCACCACCAGAGCTCCCTAGAGCCCTGCAGACACTCTCAATCCAGACTCCTAGCCCCTAGAACTGTGAGACAATAAATTCGTGTTCCGTAAAGCTACCTTTTTGTAGTATTTTTGTTACAGCAACGCTAGGAATCTAAGGTAGGCAATCCTACCATTTTTGTTGTTGTTATTCCCTTTTTGATAATATTGTCTGATTTTGTTTAGTTTACTATGCCTCCTACCACCAGTACCCTCTCCCTAACCCCCACCACAAAAAATATCTAAAACACAATATTTCCAGAAAATAGGTAAGTCTTGGAACATTGAGAACATTAATTTGCAATAGTAGAATTCATTAAATATCACATGATTTCCATGAAATGTCTTTTGTCTTTAACCAAAGTTATGAGAGTTTTCCTTCAGCATCCAACATAAGTCACATTTGTCTGTTGAAAGAAGAGTGGTAATAAAGTCAGGAGCTTGCTTTAAGGCATCCGCCTCACAAAATGTAGTTCATGCTGGAGGAATGGGAGGGCTGCTGATACAAGGATGATGACCTTTCCCAGCCCTCTTTGGAGGCTTGTTTCCCTATGCAGAGGAAGATGCGGCTACAGCTTTTCTGAAATATTTCTGAGAGGTGTTTCTTAAACTTCTCACCCATAAAAGCATAGATGATAGGGTTCACACAGCAGTGAGTAAAGGAAATGGTTTCTGTGACATGGGTGGCATAAATCAGCTGCTGGCTCACAACACATCCATCCAAGATATGCATGTTGTGCAGGGAAGTGAGGAAGATGACCACATTGAATGGCACCCAGAAGAGTAAAGATGCAATGACCACAATGAGTACCAACCTGATGGCTTTGGTCTTGTTATGGTTTTGGCATCTCTTCAGTTGGTGTAGGATGCTGCTGTAGCAGAAAATAAGGATAGTGAATGGGATCAACAGACCTAAGATATTAATTTCAAAGTAGGTGAAGATCTTCCATTTTAATGTCTGCTGATTGTAAGACGAATAGCACTGCAGAATGCCATCTTCAGAGGCCACTTGGTAAAACACGAGCAATGGGCTGGTGGCTATGATGGCAGTCAGCCATACTACCAAGCTCAGGAGTGTGCCCATACTGGCTGTCCTCACGTTCATGGCATACACGGCATGAACAATGGCCAGGTATCTGTCCACACTCATGAGAGTGATGAAGAACATGCTGCTGAAAAAGCCAATGTAATAAAGTCCAGAGACCACCTTGCACATTACAGTCCCAAACACCCACTGGTCCAGGTGATAATGGGTCAGGAAGGGGAAGGAGAAGACAAAAAGCAAGTCAGACAGGGCCAGGTTCAAGAGGTATACGTCTGTGATGCTCCTCAGCTTCTTGAAGGTGATAAGGACCAGGATAACCAGACTGTTTCCCAGAAGACTGAATACAAACAAGAGGCAGTAAAAGATGGCAAGAAGAAATTTGCTACCTCTCTGGATAAGTTCCCCATCACAGGGGCTTGCGAAGACATCAGGATAGTAGTCAGTTATTGCTGTCACATCAGGCTCAAGTGTATAATTCATTAAGGCAGGAGGACCTGGTTACAGAGGCATATATGAGAGACTCATTCCTTAAAAATATTTTTATTACACAAAGTTGGGGGGTGGGAGGATGAGAAAACTACAAAACTACAAAAACTGAAAAAAAAAAAAAAACCCACAAACAATCCCCACCATCATAGAGTCAATTTCAACTCAACTCATAGCAACCCACATTGGGTTTCCAAGGTGGTAAATCTTTGAGGAAGTAGATTGCCCCATTTTTCTAACTGCCAACATTCTGGTTAACAGTCACATGCCTTAGGCACTGTGCCATCAGAGCACCTTAAAAAGTAGAAAGAAAACTTAAATACCTGTAGTTCCACCATTCAGAATTATTTGCAAATCATACTTGCTTTTCTTTTTTCTTATTAAACATACATTTTGGTTTTTAAGCATATTATATTTGTTTTTTCCTTTCTTTCTTTCTTTCTCATGAAATAAAGATGAAGCTAAAGTTCTCTCTAACTCCACAAGTTATTCCCACACTCCAGAGTTAACTACTAACATCAATTTGGCATGTATCATTCCAGTTTCCCCCTATACTTTACAATCTTATATGTATCCATCACAATATATAATATTGTTATATGTTCTCTTTTAAGTTGCATTAATGATACCATCTTGTACCTGTCATTTTGCATCTTGTTATTCTTCTTCCACTATGTTTTTTAGAAATACATGCACATGATACTCAAAAGTTTAGTTCATTCTTTTAACTATGTTCCTAAAAATCAGCAATAAGCTAAAGTAAAAAGGAATAGAATACAACAGAAGAAAAAAAATTGACCTATATCATACTAAAACCAAAACCAAACTCACTGTCGTTGAGTTGAATCTGTCTCATAGTGTCTCCTCCTGGGGTTTCCGAGATGGTATCTCTACAGAAGTAGATTGCCTAGTCTTCCTTCTGAGGAGTAGCCAGCAACAAAAAAAATTATTAAGGCCACTAAGAATAAAGCTGATAACAACTGCAATTAAGTTATAGAAAAATATATAAAATTTATTCATTGCAATGTCTTAATTAATTGCAGTGTCTCTATACACTGGGAGCTCTGGTGGCATAGTGCCTAA